GAGGGAGGGAGGGAGGGAGGGAGGGTAATGATAATTGACCTATAGTTTAAAACCGGACCCTAAAATAATACCATAAAAAACTCCAGCTCAGCTGGGAACAGGTTGAGGTTTTGGCAAGAGGTGGGTGTCTGAAGAAAGTCCTTCTTTCTCCCTCCAAACCACCCAAGGATCTTGTGGCCAGGCTGACAGCAAAGGTCTCTATTTGAGGAAGGGAGGGCCTTCCAACATCTTGGCCTGGAAGATTGAAATCTGTATACCAGAGAAACTGACAGCCTTCCCAGCAATTGGCTGGAACAGGATGAGCAACCAAACTATCCGTGGGTTGAGGTAATCTTCCAGGGGTCCAGAGTAGTTGATTAGTGGCTGTTGAGTGGTGGCTGTTGAAAGCAACTTGTGTGACTATTTTTCGTTGCCATTCTTCCCTTCTTTCCGGCCCGCTCAATCCGTGCGCCTTTCCCCTCCCTCCCTTCTTCCCCGCCCCTATGTCACCCCTCCAGCCACCATGTTGACGCGCCTCTTCAGTGAACCCAGCTTGATCCCAGAAGTTCAGAAATTCTCCAGCTGGGCGGACGATTGTGAAGAGGATGAGTCGAGCGACAAAGAGGAGCGGAAAAGCAAGAGCTGCCCTCTCCAGGAGGAGCCGAACGACGCGGAGGTAAAAGAGGAGAACGACCTGGGCGCTGATGAAGAGGAGGAGGAGGAGGAGGAGGAAGGGGTCGAGGAAGCGGAAGGCGATCGGCCTAAGAAACGGGGCCCCAAAAAGAGAAAAATGACCAAGGCCAGGCTGGAGCGCTCCAAGCTGCGGCGCCAAAAGGCCAACGCCCGGGAACGCAACCGGATGCACGACCTCAATGCCGCCTTGGACAACCTCCGCAAGGTCGTGCCTTGTTACTCCAAAACGCAGAAATTGTCCAAGATCGAAACCTTGCGGCTGGCCAAGAACTACATCTGGGCCCTGTCCGAGATCCTTCGCTCGGGCAAGAGGCCGGACTTGGTGTCCTACGTGCAGACTTTGTGCAAAGGCTTGTCCCAGCCGACCACTAACTTGGTGGCCGGTTGCCTCCAGCTCAACTCGAGGAATTTCCTTACCGAGCAAGGCCAGGAGGCCGGGAGATACCACGGGCCCAACTCCACCTTTGCCATGCACCCCTACACCTACCAGTGCTCGCGGATCTCCAGCGCGCAGTGCGCTTCCAGCACCATGGCTAGCTCCCACGCCTTGCGGACGCACGCCTACTGCGCCACCTACGAGTCCCTCTATGGGAACGCCTCACCAGACTACAATAGCTCGGAATACGATGGGCCCCTGAGCCCCCCTTTGTGCGTGAACGGGAATTTTTCCCTCAAGCAAGACTCTTCCCCCGACCACGAGAAAAATTACCATTATTCTATGCACTACTCCGCCCTCCCAAGTTCTCGCCCCTCCGGGCACAATTTGGTGTTCGGGTCTTCCGGAATGCGCAGTGGCGTCCACTCCGAGAACGTTTTGCCTTACGAGATGCACCTCCATCACGACCGAGGTCCGATGTACGAGGAGCTCAATGCTTTTTTCCATAACTAGCGCCTTTCCCCCTGTTCCCACCGGCGCTTTGGGCGTCGCGTTCCCCTACCGGTTCCACGGGTAACCGTGACCACTTGTAGATTTCCAGTGGACTGGACTGGGAAAGGGAGGGGGTATTCGGGTGAAACAAACTAAACAGAAAGAGACAGAATGAGAGAGAGAGGGAGAGAGAGAGACTAAATAGATCCTCGGCCTCCTCTGATATTCCCCTGTACTTCGTCCCGAGAGCTGCAATTTTTTAATTCAACTGTGAACCACTTTTCTCCTAACAGTTAACAAAAAAACGGAGGGGGGGGGGGAATAAAACAATAATCATTCCGATCCGTGAACTAATTGA